TGAAAGTCAAGTATTTATTTAAAAAAACAATAAATTTCAAAGTCTTGAATTCCAATTTTTGTTTTATGAGTGAATATTCGATTGAAAATTGAAGATTTTACCGTGTTGTGGGGAATTTGAATTGATAAATTTTTTTAAAATATGGAATTCGGTTTTTTCCGCTGGTAATCGATAAGAAAATACAATTTTCGTTGAAGAAAATGTAGTGGAGGCGTGTCATCCCACACCTCTGAAACCTACGCAGATGTTGAGGTACAGGAAGCTTCGACCCAACTAGAAACTTGAGTAATCCCCCAAGGGCTATCATGTCATAAACCCGAGTTCTCCAGCCCTGTGTAGGCCGTGAAATTCACTCTATCGTATCTCTATGGGATCTCGATCATACAACTACAATTACCACCGAGCAAATGTCAGTTCATTAATTTATTGCTTGTTACTCAGTTTGTCTTGGGTGCGAGAATTTTCGTAAAGGTCAACCACTAATTCATCGATTTTCCCTGGTGTTTCCCAGTTTTTCCAGTCTTTTTCACTTATTTCGTGCTTGTAAAGTGGAATTGATATTATTATCGATTAGAATATAATAAAATGGAAATTTAATCGATTTTTTTTTTCATAAAAATTTTGACTTTTATGGACAATTTAATCTCAAGCTGTAGGAGTGTTGATTGCATTTGATGATACGGTAATGAGACTAGTCTCTTGGTATTGTGCCCCGAGGTAAAATTCCCAGGTGCACCAGTGCCCTGTCATTTCATCACTAGAACTCGCGACATCGATCGCTTTCCCATCGTTTCTTTTGGGTGTAAAGTAATAGTATGTCACGTGGATCAAACTCTGCATCATTTTATTTTCTCAGAACTCTTTTTACTGAGTTTTTTTACAATGATTGATAAAAAATTATAATTGCAATTAATAATCATGGACTGAATGACTGGTAATTAGCGTAACAATCCACTGATAAACCGCCAAAAATTCCATATCTACAAATCTAAGAGAGATATCAAAATCATCGTCATTACGTTTTTTGTGCAGCTCATTGAGAGCTACAAAAAAGGTAGAAATAAAAATTTCTGTAACATCACAGGATACCGAGATATTTAAGTAAAAGTGGAGGTGATTTTGGCATTTCGTTGGTTTTTCAAAATTGTGAACTCCCCGAGTTAAATAAAAAAAAGCTCGAACCCTCGTCTTCAAGAGTACTCACTGCGCATGGAAATATCAACAAAATAACAATAGTCGCAAAAATATAAACTCCAAGAACTGAAACAATGGCGTTTCATGTTCCCCAAGCCTTTGACTTTAGAGGAACGTTTGTTTTCCCAACGAATGGTCTCGCGACGATTGCATCTGCTTCACAACCGGATGACGGGGTCTACACCAGAGCAACCATTTTCCACATGAAAACACCTACAAATCCTCTGGCAAAAACTGAAATATGCATTTATGAATGGAAATGAATAATCCAGCTATTTCTCGTTTGAATTCCCCAACCAAATTTGGATGATTACACCGTTAATGATGATTACCAACGATTTATAGTTGAATCGTACCGAAAATGGTCGTCCACTGGGGATTTACACGTAAATGGGAGTTGCCTGGAACAACCTGAAGACCTACTATGGTGTGACTTTGTGACAGAGAGAGATGGATCGAGTGATTTATCTAGAAAGTCCACGAGAAGTCACACTTGGGTCATGCTCACATCGCTGTGTCTTTGGTGATTCCACTGGAGGATGGACACCTGCTCTACATAAACAGAAATGTTATAACGAGAGTACTTGAGATGAGTGGGATTTAATTGCGGGAGTACGTGAGAGTAATGGAATTGAATTACGAGACAGATAGAATTCGCCAGATTACTGAGGTCTTCTCGTGGAATTGATTTTATCAGGGGTGTATCTTTGGAGATACGGGGTTTGGAAGGAAATTTCATTGGGAAATTTTCTCGAAATTTTTCTCGGCTATGAAATATCTCTTTTGACTTTTTTTGATAAACCTTGTAGATTTCGAGGTATGGTCAGAATTGTGTCAGATAGGGCGACGAATCAGTTCAGTGAAAATAATTTTGTGGAAAATCTTTTGGATTTGCATTCGTCGTTTCAATTACTTCGCGAAATTAATGGAAAATTGAAAAAGTCAATAATCGGAAGAAATTTCCAATTTCTCTTATCTCATGATGCCAATTTAATCAACGGAAATGGAGTAATGAGTTTTCCACAAAAATGTCATTTTCGTGTGGAAATTCCGTGGCTCAGAAAGTTGAGTGGAAGGCTCTTGGCCCGTAAAATAACCCTGAGAAAATTCCAGAGGAGTTGCTGGAGGGAATGGAGAAGAATATTTCGAAATTTTGCGGTGGAAAATTTCTTGAGTACGTGACCTGCATTAAAATAATTGAGAAATTTGAAAAATGTAATTGATCTCTCAATAGACTTGAAGAGGTTGGTGGATAATAATTAATCCGTAATAATTCGTGGGATTTTAGAAATTGTATTTGACGTGGGGAACCGGAAAAAATGATCGGGTGGAAATTGGGTCAGATCGATTGGAATTTAGCCCATCGAATTTTCAGATACCCTTTGGCGTTCAATCCGAGTTGTGCATCATTCGAGTGTCTTAATCCAATATTTCCACCGAGATCTGAGCTATTGCTCTATTTCGGGGCCAACGAAGACGGGAATTCGAGGAAAATTCAGTTTTCCCGGATATTCAATTCATGGAGGAAATTGAAAAAAAAAATTATGGTTTTGAAATCGGATTTCTGTGGAGTGGTTTTTATTATTTATTCCCAGTTTGTCTTGGGTCCAGACATTCAGTCCAATTTGCCAGTTCCAATTTAAGAATTCAAGCCCTCTAATTAAAATTAATTAATCCAATTAATCAACGTAATTAATTCGACGGATTTAATTGGATTAAATTGATTTGCGATTTGTGAGACAATTCACGTCGATTTTCAAAATGAGAAATTAATGGAGATTTTAATTGTTGAAAATGGGAGTGAATACTTGAATCTTCAATTATTATTTTTGAAATTATAAAATAATATCGCTTTATTTTTGGAGGGGGGGAGTTATTGAAATGGGGATTTATTGGAGAAGTAAAGGAAAAGGGGATAATTTGGGGTAAATGACTTTTCTCTGGGGAATTTTCTTCAATCGGTCATGAAGAATTACGTAATTCGGGTATTAGTGATGCGAAACAATTGACCCAATCCGCGAAATGACCGGGACTGTTTCATGGAGTGAATCGCGTCGTAATCACTATTGTAATGCAATCCCCGTCTCGTTGTCGTAACGCCCTTCCCGGTCTTACCAACTATGACTGAGCGTCTTTTTATAGAATTACTAATCATTGAAATATCAGTGCTTCAATGTGGATGAGCAGGAAGAGGTCATTAACGGAAGATAGAATAATTCGCGAAAAGAAATAGTAAAAAATGACAAGTACTCTGATGATTCTGTCAATATCTCGGAAACCAGGGGGGCTACGGAAAAATGTCACATAACTTTTTTTCAAGAAAATTCGATTGTCTGGAAAATTTTCCTTTGCCCTTTTTCGCTAATCATGATACATCAGAAGATATCAAGGATATGAATGGAGAAGATCGGGAGATTAACAGATATGTTCTCGAATAATCAGGTTTCATTGATTCTACAATTATCTCGTTAACGAGTGGTTCTAGGACAAAGTGCTATAGGAACTTGTTTATGGAGAATTAAATTTCCTGTAATTAATCTCTTTGAGGATTTTCCATAGGACCACTCATCATCGAGATAATCCTCTAATTATGAGTGTCACATTTGAATAAACAACGTGGACGGGTGAAATCTTGAGAAAATCGATTCCAAAAATTACTCGATGATGGAGATATGCTATTGGGGTCAAAGACACACATGCAACTCCTGGGTAAAGGGGGTCGCTGTTCGTACTGGAAACAGGTATACGATTATTCTATCGATCCACCAGTCATAGACAACTGTTATTCGCAAAACTACTTACCAACCGGAATATCCGGCCCGACAAAATTAAACAATAACAAATAAAAGGTATCAATCATATTTACGACCAGATGATCTCAACCATTTGTCGCGACAGGAGTTTTTTCTTTCTTTTTCTTACAATTTTTCTTCAACAACTTTTGCAATTACCGAGGTGAGGTGAATCTCAAGGGCGTATCGTTTATTCTCTTCGGTTTTCTGGAACAATGATGAGTGGAATTGTGAAACCAAGGGAGAAATCCTTGAAGGCCATCGAGAAATCGAATAAAATTCTGCACTCCAATGATAAAACGTGAACTCGTTTCCCCTCGAAATCATGAGTTACCCATAAAAATCGCATTTACTCAGCAATTAATTCTCCCACGAGAAAACTTGATAGCGGATTTTTTGTGGGGAATTTAATTTGCCATGGAAAAGTTCTGTGACACTTTTCTCTAGACCCACGCATTTCTGAGATTATCGGCTATTTCGAAAAAGAGAAATTGCCTGGAGTTTGAATGTTATTGATGATTGATCAATTAATTATGCGATTTATCGGTGAATACTAATGGCTGAATTTACACGTGGGGAAATTACTGGCAGTACCAGAAAATGGAAATCTATGAATAGCTGAATTGGTGTTCATATGTGCAAGTGTATGAGCTAGAGTTCAAGTGAAAATGGACAAGTGGATTCTGAGAGTGTCTCGGCCTAGTTGTCGAGTGCTCAGACAGTGGATTTAGAAGAGAGATTTAAAATTATCGTCTTTAGGATGATTTTGGCATCGAATCCCTCTCACATCATGGGACTACATAATCATTTTTCCATTTTTATCTCGTTTAAACCGACAAACCCAATCAGTAAGACTTGAAAAATCATTAATTGGAAGCTAATTGGGGTACCCTGGAAATTATTCGAAAGTCGATTTTTTCTGTGGAGAAATTATTGGAGATTAATTATTTCATTGAGTGAGAAATGATTGTTTTTATTTTTGATTCTTTGATTCACAATGATTTTTTATTTCAGGCCAAACAACGTGCCTCCATGAAATGGCTTTTATCCAAGGCGTACAACAATCGAGTCCCGGAGAACCTCCGGGAGCCTTATTACCGTGATCTTGAGGTAAGTAAATAAAAAAAATATTGTAAAAATACTGTGGGCGAGGAAATAGCGAGTCAATTCAATTGTATTGTAAAAATGTATTTCTCCCAAAAATTCCTCCAACCGTTTTCATCTCGATTTTATCGCATGATCCAGTCGTAAAAAAATCGTAAAACTTTCATCACATCCGTCAGACAGTGAGAGTGTCCCAAAATTGCTTTATTCATGAGGGAAAGTAATTAATTAACAATCCAAGCCTTGAAGAATAAAAAAAATTACATTGAATTAAAATCTGAAATTGAAATTTTTGAGTTTTCCGCGGATATCTCAGGATCTAGAGGAGATAGCGAATTTTTTAATAATATCTTTTTTGTTGCTGTTTTTTCGCTTTATAATTAAGCTCCTGTGGAAAATTTTGCATCTTCGTTATTTGCAGAGATATCATCAACCATAAATAATTTAATAATCATTTTTATAGCACTGGGTTATTAGAATGATTTTTTGACACTTGGCTGTCGATTTGTGATCGGTTTTTAATACTTTATCGCACATGTTGCATCCACGTGTGACCTACAGTCGTCAGTTAGCACTGGCTAAGATCCAATTAACTAAATCGAATTACGTTGGCTTGATCTGAAAACAAACTCGCAGTTGCTTGCAAACTTTTCGAGTCTAATGCTCGCAGTTTGTGATGTGTCTTATCAGAGATTTAGTGTTCGAAAAATTGTTTTATTGTGGCATTCACAGGACATTGTCATCCAGTGGATCTATAATCGTGGAATCAAAATGTCTCGAGGTGTCGTTTATTATTTATTCTGCCTGAAATAACTGGATAGGTTGCAGTTGATTTTTAAAATAGGATTTTACCCTTTGGGGGATGTGAAACTAGATATTATCTCGATTACTTTTGACTTTCCAAGGTTTATTGGACGCTGGCCAATCGATCTTTATTCTCCTGCCAATTCTTCCTTTTTATTTCGTGTTTGAAATATCCTCGGAGGAGAGCATTTCAACAATTATCATTTATTTGCAATAATTGCACCTCAGGGAATGGCTATCCACTTAATTGAGATAATAAATTCATTAATTCATCGGAGTAATTACCAGTAATTTGATGATCAATGAAATTAGTGAGCCAAAGGGATAACTATTTGTTCACAAATATCTTTTCTAAATTCAATTATGAATTTATTTTTAAAATGAAATTGGTGAATTTTGGGAGAGTAATTTTCTAGTATTGTAGTTTAGTTTTAATTAATTTTCCTGAATGATGTGCAGGATCAGGAGCACTTGAAGCCCCAGATAGTCCATTCTCTGTCAAATGCCGAGCTCTACTGTCTGGCACTTGCAAACATCTACTCCGATCCTAATTATCACAATCAGAATCACCTGGGTATCCTTCAAGCTCTTGCTCGCAAGGGTGTTTTTGTTAATGAGCCAAGCAATACACCCCTCACCGAGACAATTCTCATCCAAAATTCACCCCTCAAAATGTCTGCACATATGGCTGTGATAGAGGGCCTGATGATACTGTATGCCAAGGAAGTTGTGACTGGTGATCGTGTAGCTGCAGCTATTCGGAGGTTTGATCCTCAGGCTCTGGTGGATGTGCCTCAGGATCATGAGAAGGGTCTTCTCTTGTGGATAAGTCATGCATCGCATGCACTCATTACTAAAATTCAGGGTGAGGAGGGCCAGGATAAGACAAAATTACCTGAATTACCACCAGCCAAGGATTTTCAGTCATTGTGCGATGGTGTTGGTCTAGCTGCTGTTGTAGCATTCTACTGCCCTGGGGAGCTCAATTGGATGGACATCAGGGTATCCAAGAGACCCTCTGTTGCTGATGCACTTTACAATTTGTCGTTGGTTCACGCCTTCTGCATCAGGTGTCTACCTTACTCCATTTTTCACATGCAACCAGAGGATGTCACGTACATGAGAGGGTAATTAGCAGTTTTATGAGCTCTTTTAAATTATATCTGGATTATCAATCGTAATTAAAATCATTTGAGAAAGACACAAACTCTCCTAGGGAGGAGATGCTAGAGATTGGTTGGATAATTTTTTTTCAATTTCTGGTTTATCTTTCAGGTCGATGAAACAAAATCTTGTTGTATTTCTCGCTGACATGTACAATGTCCTGGAGATTCATCCGGTTAAGTGTGTACGTTATCCTGGGGAGGAAAGGGCAAGCCAGTATCTCGATGGTATGTACAGTTACGAGATAAGTATTTTTAACGGTTATCATTGATTCGATCAGTCGCTGATTTTTTAAGTTTGAATATTGCGTTGTCCACACCGAAATTTTAATCCCTTTAATGGGTGTGATGTTGGTTATTGAGTACTCGGGTTATTGGTGAAGGGACTAATTTGTAACAGATCGGTGAAGGCCACGCACAAATTCTTGTTTATAAGGTGAAGCAGTACCAAGTGGTTATAATCGTTTAATTATTAATTTATTTGAGTTATTCACGATGTACCTTTGTGATTGTGAGGACTCATTTATTCCAGACGATGATTAAGATAATTTTTAATAAAATTTTCAGTTTATAGAAATACGTTCGATAGGGAGGGAATTTCGAAGGGATAATTCATGGATAAATCAAAAATAAATAATCTAGTCATTTGGAATTAAGATTAATTATTAATTATTCAGATTTATTTTCAATTATCGGTAATTATTCATTTGCAATATTATTATCAATTCATTTTAAGTCTTAAATGAGATTTTATCTCACAATCGTAATGGTATCACGCTTCTTATCAATGTCAGTACACTCTGTCGTCCGTGTCACTGAATATTCTCCCTAATTACTCTAATAACAACACTAGGACACAATATGTGTATTTTCTTAATCATATTGGACTCGAATCCACAAGAACGAAAGGAAAAAAAATAATTTAAGTAATGAGTACTTGACGGAAAATTGAAAAAATCGTGTGGTATTTAATCTCGAGAGATATTAAATCATCGATCATGAGAGAATAGTGAGAATGATTCGTAAGAAAAATTAGATAAATTGATAGCTTATAAAATCCATAATATTTGCCTATTTTCTATGGCCTAAATCTTCTTGATGCTTGAACAAAATCAACCGCTGACTATTCGCCTACTTCTATTCATCACTGAATACCAATGGGGTTGGTTGTGTTGACCTACAGCGTGCCCACGTAATAGTCATGGGGTAGCACATAAAAGAAGTCTACCTCAGTCAATAGCACCAATACCTGATCTGAGAAGCAACCTCTCCATTTCCGCTCCAGGCTTCACAGGTATCAAATGTTAAATCAAGGGAGAGACGTCAGGCGTCGAGATATTTATTGAAATTCATTCAGGCATTTTTTATTTATTTTTTTTCAATTGAGCACAGTAATTGTTCGTTGTGAACATGTGGGGATTTGTCACGTGTTCGATAATTCTGGGTCATCAATTCATCTGGGTAATTAACAGTAATTGAATGAATGACAAAACTCGGGAGAATATATTTGTTTGTTAATTATTTTTGTTATCAGCTGGATAAATGTTGAGTTTGGAAATGACTTCTCGTGTTTTTTCCCGGAATTCAATATTTGTCTGGGTGATTTCTTTGATGGAGCTCATGAAATTTTGACTCGTGGAATAAATTTTCTCGGGGTAATTAACATCTTCGTTATGGGAGTGGTTAATTGGGGAAAAGGTGGGAGTGAGTGCATGGTGTGACAGTTGACATGTGTAATAATAATGAAATTTTCATTATCATACTTAATCATCGACTTATCACTGGCGAATGAAATTTATTTAAGGCTTGCAATCACATTAATTTGGGCATGATTATTATCCAGACATTGTATTGACTGATCTGCTGAGCTAAATGTCAATCATGGCATATCCACTTTTAGTTCGTTGGTATTGTTTGCTATGTAAATGATTTTTATTTTTATAATTTATATTGTCATTACTGTATCGATTATTTTTCATATTATTTTTCTTTAGTCACAATATTATTTTCGTCATTCTCTGATATTTTTGCACTGGGTTTACCATTAGTGCATAGAGAACTCTAGAGCTTGTGTATTCATTGCTCAAAAAGGGAAGTAACGGCATTTAATTATTTTGGCTGATTAAATTTGTTTGTTGTTTACAGTTGCGAAACCCACGACCATGAGTTTTGTGAAAAAGTCACAGTCACTGCAGCAGACTGCTGAGGCTCATTCTTACGATGACAGGTGATTATCCACCAATTATTGATTAATTATTATTATTAATTATTATTTATTGAATATCGAGGTAATCAGGGGATAATAAATTGACGAGTGGTTGGTGGTGGTTTTATAATTTCAGAAGAGGAACGTCGGAGGAGAGTTTTGTGGTGCACCGAAACAGGGGAATACCAACACTCAGTTCTGTTGGTGATGAGAGGATGGTGAAGGCAGAGGCTGCTGGACGGCCTAGTAATTGGGAGGATCAGAGAAGAAGTTCGTATGCTGGGAGAAGATCTAGGCGTAATTCAGTCACTGATGACTCTCAACTGACAATTGAAAATTTCGGTGGATCTCAGGTGAGAGATGAATAATTTTTTATCGTCATTATAGATTGAGGGAATCGATCGGTAATTGATGAGTCAATGAATGAATTATCGTTGCAGGACAATTTGCACAATTTTGGATGTGTGAGAAATCCCGACAAGGAGATGGTGCACACTGGAAAGCGTACAGCACCAGAGCCAAATCTCCCAGTGCGTTCTAGTGTTCAGGATGTTTATGGAAGTGATGTCCAGCACATTTTAGCTGACAATGGGTACAGCAATGACGAGCCAACCCCTCGCCTCAGGCGACAAGCCTCAAATACCAGTCTCAATAATGTCGCCATCAAGAACCTTCTACATTCCAGTGATAACGATAAAATTGACGTTGAATCAACGAAAATGGCGAGTTTTGCCAATTTGAGTAGACAGAGCTCGGAGAAGGGAATTAATTTTAATTATGGTGAGCATGAGCGTGATGAGTCTGGGGTGAGGGGTAATTTTGGGGGTAAGAAGCATGGACAGAGTAATGGCAATGGAATTGCTGAGAAGAAAACCACTTTTGCTACTTTACCAAATACAACAACGTGGCAGCAGCAGAGCAGTCTGCAGAGTCAACAGACTGAGCCACATTCTAGTGATGGAGATGGAAGTAATATTGTAATAGCAGCCCAATTGAATAATATTCGAATGCAATTGGAGGAAAAACGTCGACAGATAGAGACAGAAAAGAGAAGGATGGAGGCGAAGGCATCGAAACAGAGGGAACAAGTGGGAAAAGCTGCTTTTCTGCAAACAGTAACCAAGGTCAGTGCCTTCAATTCAATTTTTTTCAACAATCTCTCAATTATCCATCAATCGATTGGCAAATCTCACGAAATATCTTCGAAATATTCACAATTACTTCTCGAATACGGTGGCAGTATTTCTATTAGGTCCTTCACGTTCACTCTTAACTCAACTACTCTTTCCAATCTTACAGCTGTACTTAGGGGTAAGTGCATGCAATTGCACTTTTATTAAAATTCACGAGAACATCGCCAATCAAAACTGAAACATCGAAAATTATTCGTTCACTCATTGAAAAATTATTACGATTAAAAATACACTTTGAAATTTTTCTCCATTTCCAGATGATTTCATACTTGAAAAAAAAAAAATCACATTCATGAGGATACAAAGGCCAAAATGTATTTTTATCGTGATCTTATCAGTAAAATTGCACGTTTCAATCATAAAGTTCGTTTTCCCCTTGGAAATCCGTTGGGGAAATTTTTTTTTCTACATTTTTCCGCAGATAATATTCTTTTGAATATGTTTAGAGCCTTGGAGCATAGTGATTTATTTTTTAACGCTAGATTGCACGGTATATTGATTAATTGAAGAGCTTTATGTGTTGAATTATTGGAACTTGGAATGTGGTGATGGACTCTGGTGTACCTAACAAGGCACATTTGGTGGTTGGGCTGGTTACAGGGTAAGGTTAAATCACCCTCGTCATCGGCATCAGGGGGTGACAGTCCCGTGGAGCATGCTCCCCCCACTCCAATGACCTCAGGGTCCTCTGGTGATACAACAGGGTGTAACGAGTCATCTCCTCATCAAAATATACAAGATAAACCCCAGCGTCCTTTCACACTCAAGGTATCACTTATTTTTATCATCATTCGAGCCATTTTTCGGTTCTCCCTCTTATTTATCCTCGTCGTATATTATTTCTGACTATTCTAGTTGATTTTATTATTATAAAAAATGCGTATGTAGGCATGTGGCTTCGGTATTCGCTTTTTCAATGTCATTTATCCCCAGAATCTGCTATTATTTCGGTAATTACGGGGTCTGCGGGAAAATGTGAAGAGACATTTTTTTTGGGAAATTTCGTCGGCTACAAATAATGTTCTATCACTTTTTCTCCTAGAATCCATTCTCCAGGAGGTACGCCAAGCAATTCGCAGGGGTGTAATGTGTTTTACTTTTGCTTTCTCCAGTTGCGTAAATGAGTAATTATCGCGGTAATTAGTGGTCTTAGAGAAAAGTGACAAAGGAATTTTTTTTAGATTGTGATATTTCCCGGGTAAAATTTTTCTCACTTTTTTTCGTCTGGGCACTCGTTCGGGAGCTACACCCGTAAATCAACAGATTTCAGGTTTTTATCGAAAATTTTTCATTATTGAACGTCTGGGCTGTCTCGATTTTCAGCCCAGAATGTTGGTAATACCCTGAGTTTTTTACGTGTCACCGAAAATTGTAGCATCGAATATATTATTTTTTTTGTGAATATCAATGTGGAGTGCTGGAGGCAAACGAGATACAATATTGATCAAACAAAAAATAGATAAATGCGGACTCCTGATTTTAGATGTTGACGACATTTCAGAGTACTTCCATCCACTGGAGACACAACTCCATTGAAAATTCGTTTTTAATTTCTATTAATCTCAATTAATGAACGAGTTCTTTTGTCACTTCAGGTAATTTAAATTCCGTAAAGATAATTGAAACTATTAAAGACCTTCGATTTCCCTCGCCAACGACCCAATTCTCTGAAGTGTGTCATAAAAACATAATTGCAACAAAAAAATGAGAATCTGATTAGAAAAATTAATTCAGTCATTCCCTCGGTTTTTCCAAATTTTTCGTAGCAAATGGTCCGACAAAATTCTCAGTTTCAAATGGATTCGAATATTTTCCAAGTGATTTAAATTAATTGATGAATGATTGGAGCGTTATAAAGACCAGTAAAAAATGTTTGACACGGTTATCGACATTATAATGAATATATTCATGTCACTTATCCCGAAGAAGCTTCAGACACGTGCTATCGTGTGCTCCATGAGCCCCAGACCCCCAGAACCCGCGACACCGAGAAACGAGTCTCGCGAATCCATTGAGTCGATTTATGGATCTACTTGTTCCCTGGACTCGGGCAATTGCTCGATCCGGGATTATCTGACTGCGGAGAGTCAGGATAGCTCTGAAGATAAATTTTTTGATGATTTCGAGTGCATCAGTGTGAAAATACGATCCAAATTGACAAACACCGAGAGTGACAGAATTTCGAGGTCGAGAGGATTCTGACGATTGTGTCATGATACTGAGGGGTTTTACGGGTGAGGTCAAATGACCTTTTCTGTGAGAAATTTCATTAGCTACAAAAAAGATCTTGTGATATTTTCCCCTGAAATCCCTCGTTTGTGAGATAATCGCGCGAAATTGAAAGAATTGATGAAAATCAATTGATGACGATTGGAAAGTCAATTTTTTTTGGTTTACGTTTTAATTCAGGAAATAAGGGAAGACGTCAGAGATGTTGAGCACAAGTGGCTGGAGCATGATGGCAGTACTGTGCCCTTCATCGAGACACGTCGTACCCCTGACCTTGAGAACATGGATCTCGAGCAGTACCACCAGTCCATCACTCAAATGAACAGCAGTCTCAGTGAAATTCACGCAGACATTCAGAGACTAGCGAATCAACAGACTCAAATACAGCAACAGCATTTCATAAATCAGCAGCAGCAGCAGATGCAACAGCAATTTCAACAATTACAGAGTTATAATCAGCAACACATGACAAGTTACGGAATGCCTCCGATAAATCCCATGACTCCTAGGATCCAGGATCCTCAGCAGGGGCAATTTTATCTGCATGATCAGCCCCAGATGCAGAGAAGAACGTGGGCAAGGCCACAGCAGAATTTATCTAATGAAATGGCAGCTGTGAGTTATCAGCAGCCAATGGACCCCAGGTACAGCCCTCAACCACCTGTTTATCAGCAGGATCCAAGATTGTACCATGACACGAGGACCTGGGGTGCACCTCCACCACAGCAGAAGGGCTTTGTACTCCATGACACATCCCAGGAGCAGAGGTATCTCAATGGTGGCGATCACAGTATCATCAACAGCCAAATTCATCATTCACCGGCTAATTATCCTCAATCATCGAATTTGTTTACACAAACACCACCTGCGTCTGCTAGTCCTCAGCATCGAAATGCTGTAAGTCTATATTTATTCAGTACTCTATTATTTTCTCATTTTGAAAACCATTGAAAAAATTTTATTGCCCTTTTCCCTTTGAATTTTTCGGTTTTCAAATAATTTCATCATTATTCGGAGAATAAATTTATAAAAATAATTGATAATTCAATTATTAAATCGTTTTTTAATATTTATTTATATTTTTTGCTTTTTAAAGTTGAGGGGATATTTTATTTCTGGTTAATTTATGTGCAATTGTGTTGGCGCGGTTTAAATCGAGGGAAAATTGGTTTCTCACGAATTAATAAATAGAAAAGGAGGTTCTTGATTTCATTGTTGGCTCGGGGTACGGAGTCATCATCATAAACCAGTTGGTGATGTAATTTACCATTTTGAGAGAATACGCCACTGGTACCCAAGATGGGAGGGATCTTCCCACACGGAATTTTCAATACTTTTACCTGACCAACTGAACACCTACAGTTGATCTCGACCCACTGACTCTACGATTTAACGTTTTAAATCCACAATCTTAATAGAATGCACATGTTTTATTCTACAATTACTGCACGGAGTAATTTCAGTTACACCGATGAGGTTTGAACCTTCATCATAAATCGTTCTTTAGTAACTAGAAATTCAGAATTGCAACTGGAATAAGTGAAAGAACAGGATTTTCATATTTTTCCAAGAGTTTTTAGTGTGAAAATTTTGTAGAATAATTTCCCTCGCCTTCAGTTTTGTGAGAATTGCATTGATAAATTTTTTCTGACTTCAGAAAATGTCACGGAGAATTAATTAATTTCTCTCAAGAATTCGTGGTGTTAAATAATAAAAATAAATAATAATGAGAAAACAGTGGGAATCGGAGGATTTATTCATTTGAAAAGAGTGAATAATTCAGACTATCATTTTATTTTGACAGCTGAAAATGGAAAATTGTTATGAAAAAAATTGTGGAATAGTTTTTGGTTCTCGAGGATAAATTATCTCGTCTTGAAAAATGTTTAAAAAATGGGTGAATTGAATTTTAATGGCAGTTTGAGGATTATTAAGGGTGACAGTGGGGTTTGAAGATTGAATTATTGATTTAAGGTACATCGGATAAGTCAACTGATGGGGGAGAGTCCTGAGCCGAAGAAACCGACGGTGCACCACATCCCAATCACCTGTGAAAGTCCAACTGACAAGCGTCACAACAATGCCCAATTGCACACACCAGTTCCTGCCCCACCGGTTGACGACATGGAGCCACAAAATATATCATTCATCGGCAATGACGATGATCTCGCACAACGAATTCCCCGGCTGCATATCACATCGGGCAGTCGAACCTACAGAATATCATCACCCACGAAGACGACGCCTTCTCGTAATTCGTTTCAGCCTCACAGTTCGCTGCGCGAGGCCTCGCCATCGCCGTCGGCGACCCCCGAGATCACTCCCCTGGATTCTACGGATGCTGGGGAGAAGGGTTTCTATATCTCGTTCGACAATGATGGACCGAAGAAGCCAAAACCAGCATTGAGAGTCAAAAGATCACCCAAAAAGGAAAGAACAGTTTCATCGTTTATCGAGCACGAGGACTTTTCAGCGCGTCCGGACTCCCCTCCAGCGAATCCTATAGATCGTCAGAGGCACATGGAGGCCCAGAGGGATCTGGAACGAGAGCGTCAACGTCAAGCTGAGGAGCGTGAGCAGCAGCGCCAGGAATTGAGGGACAGAGAGTTGCAGAGGGAAATTGACAAAGAGAGACAACGAGAGGACAGACAGCGAACGGGTGAGACTCGTCCCACTGGAGTTGGCCTCGTAATTGGAAATGAACTGGCTAATCCAGATCCAAATTCACTCGATGAGATGGAGAAGAAGAAGAAGCAGTTCATGCTGGCGTCTCTCCAGAGGAGGCAGCAGCAGGGGGAGTTGAAGGAGAGGAAAGAGGCTGAGGCACTGGCCAAACGTGAGAGGGAGAAGATGAAGGAGGAGGAGAGAGCCAGGAAGAAGGAGGACGATAGACAGAGACGAGCTGCCATCCTTGAGCAGTACAAGCTGAAAAAATTGAAGGAAGAAGCTGAACGTGAGGTAAATACACAATCCTCTCATCTCTCATTATCATTTTTTGGCTTTCACTGCGCATATCTCCGAGTCTTTTAAGTTTGGAAAAAAAAATTCATTGAGTTTGGCACTGAATGAATTTTATTTTTGTTTAATTCATTGACGATTCCAGGGAAAGGTACTTGACAAGGAAGTTCTAAATGCCATAAAACAAACCCCAAAGTTACGTAGTAAGACTGCAACATCGGCTAGACCTCGACCGAAAACAATAGCCGTTGATCACTCGGAATTAGATTCTGGAACACTGACGCCTAGTCGTGGGAAGAAAGGATCTTCCTCAAATCTCAGTACAGGTAAGACTGTTTAAAATTACTCTTCTTGATATCTGTCTGATCCTCCTGATGTTGATTTCATCGTGGAAATTGAATTAAACCGTCCACAGTACTGATTAAACTACAATTCCTTAATTCCGCTGTTCCTTAAGGATTTCTCCTCAAAATAATTGGCAATATCTCAAAAGCTACTGGGTTTAGAAAAAAATGTGATTAAAACATATTCATATAAAATTTAATTTCCCACAAAAGATGTCAATATCATTTTCTCCTAAACCCTACGGTTCTCGCGGTATTTCCCAATTTTATCAATTAATTTCCACGTGAATCAACGAGTTCTATTCAATGTTCTATAACTACAAAATACAATTCACTTTCTAAATGTTGCATTTGCTATCTGCATGGCGAGTTTGAGGATCGAACCCAGATCGTACCCGGAAATTTATCTGCAACTGTTTTTCTCTGTTGTTTTATGAGATTAAAAAAAAACTCACAACCTAGAATTTCAGATATTCTTATCAATTGTAATTACGAGTGTAGGGGAATCGTTTGGCTAGGAGATTTGATTTGTGTTCCTCTTTATTTTATGTTGTATTTTTTTTTGCACTAACACACTTAATGTAGCGACGCTGATCTCACCAACAATGAAGCGAGATTACTTCAGAGGCTCGCAGGATACACTCATTGCTGCCCATTATGATGACCGGCGCTCAGGGCCCTTTTATAGGGGTGGCAGTCTCAAGGGTACGCACTACACGCACTCTATCACTCACAGAAAAAAAAAACAAAACATGCCTTTTCGTTTTTTTTCCCTTCATACTGCCAGATGAGTGGTTTTCCATCTTTTTTTCTATTGACGGAATTTTCATCGATGGAAAAATTCGATTATCTCGAAAACAAATGGAATTATGAGAAAACACAAAAAGGAATTATTTGTGGGCATTGGAATTCCCCACAAAAAATTCTTCTGACTTTTTTTTCTAGGATCATTTTCTGCTGAGATATGTCGGTATTTCACCGGTGTAAAAATTGTGCAAAAATGGTGGATTAAATTCACTCGTCTGTTTTTATAAATAATTTGTGTTTAACGTTTTTATTCCACTCATCTCATTAATCCTTGGTGTAGCATGCACTTCTGTCTCTGAGATTCTCCCCTTCATGATACAGGAATAGCTTTAGCCTTAAAATAGAGTGGGTAAAAATGTCGAGTTAATTTTTTGGTGGAGAAATTTGTAATAGTTTGCCCTTTTATTTTAGTATCTTCCGTAGATTCGCCAGACGATGGTAGAGGTTGTTCACCGTGTCGCAGTACCAATCAGCTGGGACGACGTGGATCTTACAAGACATCCAGAGGTGGGTCCTAGATTATCAGGAATTATTTCGCTATGAGTACTGTTATTTATTATTAATTATGCAGTGCATTCACGTATTTTTCATGGTTGCTAAATAACGTTTGGTTTACATTAACGAGATCTCCCAAGAACTTGAACCAAGAACGAGAGTTTTCCCCGCTTTAACGATCACTGGAAAATATCTTTCAATCATTTTTCCTCATATTAATCCTTTTCAAAATCGTCTTCATAATTTTTGGAGGAAAAAAAATAAAAATAACAACTGGATAAATAAAACGATGAATAAAAAGCAATAAACGAATACCATTGTCAGTATTAAAAGGGAAGAAGATATTTCAGTGATTTTTAAAGTGAAAATATTGTTATAAATAACTCGAAGAAGTAGAGCATTTGACGTAGAATTTCCAGTTGAATGCAACGTTGCTCCGCACCAAGCTGCACCGGCTACATTGAATTTTCATTAATTAATTCATCAATAAATGAATAATGTACCAAGTAGCTAGACCTCCAAAATCATCGAATAAATAAGAAAATAATAATTAGCAACAGGATCGTTGAGCCAAACTCCAATAAAACCTAGATAAACACCATAAATTAATTGACCGGCCTCGATGGCTTGTAACAACGAAAAAACGTTGGATTATCTTACAGATACGCAGGAGCCTCATCAACAGGTTAGAGGCAGGACAAAATACCCGACTTACCAAAACTTTAAAGGAAGAAAATCAAATTCGTTGATGAATTTGTGTGGTAAGGATAAGAATTGAAATTGTGAGGAAACAGCATTAAAGAGAAATCAATTCCCAAGTCCCTCATTAATTTCGCCTATTTTTATTTGTCTTTTTGTTTCTAATCCGGTGATTCGTTAATGATGGTTCATATTAGGCTGATTAATTTGGAGATTAATTTAGTACACTTTAGACGCATGGTGGCAGGCTGGAAGGGATTTTCCACACAGGAACACTCGATCATTATTTTTTTTCTTTAATTTCTCACGAGTCTCGTCTACACGATCTAAAGTTGCTCAAAAAAATTCGAAAACTCCATTTAATTTTGAATTATAATGGTTTTTCATTCAGCTGTTCGATTTTTTTTATGAGTTTTTCACAAATTCCTCTGAAACTAGAAAGGATAATTAATTTTTTGTTATTAACTTTTTCGTAGATCTTGATTAGCTCTACAAAATAGGTCCTGATGAAAATTTAATTATCTCTTCTGGTTTTGGAGATATCTTCGGAGATTAAAGGATAGAGCAATTTTAAATAGTCTTTTAAACGGTAAAAAAATCTGGAAATTACTGGAGAGGATTGTTTATCTCTTGATGATGATACTGACTACACAATTCAGGGATATCACTCACTAGATAATAAATATGACGCTTTTTGGGCTTTACAGCAGAGGTTGTGGCAACTGATACTTTACATTCATATTTCAACAATTTTTCAGATTAATACAACTGGATCTGGTTTTAATTTATTTCATTGCTCGTTTCACATGTTCAGGGTCATGGAGTTTCATTGAACAATCGTTATTATTTGTTTACAGGTTCATTATCGATAACATTAGATAAGTTAGATAATTAATTCCATAAAGAAGTGGTGAATTTAAAACATCTGCATCGACTAATTCCTAAATATCTCGAAAATTAATGGATTTATCGAAAAATCTCATTAACATTTTTTACGGTTCCTGAAATTCTTTACAAAATGTTTTCTATCCATTTTTTTCTAAATCCAGTAGTTTTTCAGGTATTCGCAGAATAATCCACCCCTTCAATTAGACAATCACAAAACAAATGGAATAATTCTTAATATTTTATTAGGAACTAATCGTGTAGTCAATCTAGAACTTAAATAACACACACGAAACTAATTAAGTTATCATTTGGTAAAGGTTTGGGGTCACGAAACAATTTGTTCGTCTTGGGCGACGGTTTTCGAAGATTAATCCTGTCATTTTTTTAAATTTTCGTTTCATGTCATTTATTATTTATCTTTCCCATCGGAGGTGGATTATTATTGATTAATAAATGGTGTTTATGTGTTTTTGGCAGATACTGACAGTGGATTGGGCCGTGCTACACCACCAAGGAGGGCACCCAGTCCTGGAATGGGTGGAAGCACAAAACATTTGAATTCACCTTCTTCAGGGCCTGGATCACTGCCACCAGGTCTCATGTCTAAGCGAAAATTCGATGATGGCAGTAGTGATATCAGTAGCACAGCTAGTTCCATGATGGAATATAATGGACCTCGACTCTACAAACAACCAACCACTAAATCGAATCGAGGAATAATGCTGAATGCAGTTGAGTACTGTGTATTCCCAGGAACTGTCAATCGAGACGCCAAAAGACGTGTTCTGGACGAAATTGGAAGATCAGAGAGCAAACACTTTCTCATTCTCTTCAGGGATGCTGGATGCCAATTTCGCGCTCTCTATTCCTACTGTCCAGACACAGAGGAGGTCACTAAACTTTGTGGAACTGGGCCCAAACAAGTTCTCGAGAACATGTTCGACAAATTTTTCAAGTAAGTTGAGAATAAATAAATAACAATTTTTTTAATTATGGATTTTTCTCGAAAACTATCTTTTTGATCTGGAAACACAAAAGAACTTTTTTTGTAGTTAATTAAATTTTCAACAAAAAAGGTATCGTAAAGTCGATAGTTTTTCGATAAAATCGATTATTAAGCTGTGAAATTTCGAAGCTGTGGTAATATCCTCGAAAAAAGAGAGTAGAAAACAAAACGAATTGTTTATAACAATTGCAGATACAATTCAGGGGGTAAATGCTTTTCTCAAGTCCACACAAAGCATCTGACAGTGACCATAGATGCCTTCACGATACATAACAGCCTCTGGCAAGGAAAAAAGAATAATCTACCAAACAAAAAGGACATGGCTCTCGTCATATAGTTTTACCCTCTATTTCCAATCCAAAAGATTAACAAATTTCCTATGTTGTTCATGGTTATCATATTTTAATACAACAATGTAAGCCCCAGTGTTTAATTATCGACAGTCTTTATTGTTCATCAGTCAATTTTCATTTATTCACTTACGATCGTCACAAAATCCGAACAAATTGCAACATTTTTCTTTTTTTTATTGATTTTTTATACTCAGGTGTCGATCGAGTGATTGATGAAATTGTTTTTCTTCATTAAAGAGATCATTGAAAAAATCCCAAATGGCTGATTAATTGATTGAAGACTAACACAATGAGACGAACGTACTTCATCTTTATTTCTTCTTTTTTCGTCTATTTCTAATTGATAATTCGAAGCGAATTCTTGGCTTCCAAATGACATCTTGTGAATTGAAACTGCAGGTTCCGATGGAGATGTTAATAATTTTTATCACAAAAAATAAATGTTGAGTAATGTTTGGAATTATTGAAAGTGTCATGAAAAAAAATTCTGATGCATTGGCATTTGCAGTTTGATTTATCATTTGAAAAATTTTCTCTGCCTCTCGACTGTTGACAGTTGAGACTGTAATTGAGAATAATGAATAATTGATGATTTAACGAACGGATTTTTGCTTGTTGAGCAATTCATGGGTATAAAAACGTAGTTTTGTAAATAATTGAAGTGAGTTTGTCACGATTGAGTGATAAAAAATGTGTGAAAAAGTCATGGGAAAATACCAAATCGAGCCTTAAAGTCAATCTGGGCGTTGAGATGAATTATTATCCACTAGTTTGTTTCTCTTTTTTAATCTTTGTTTTAGCTCGAGAGTTATCACATTGGATTGCTTCCACTTATTTTTATGCTCGAAGTCGAGTTTTAATCTTGAAAAAAGTAAAATAAAGGAAAAAAATTTGATTGGATCCGATGACAGTATTTCGGTCAGTATTTCTAAAGAAAAACTCCTCCAGCATTAATATCCACACGTTGATTTCCCAATTAATAGAGATAAATAGCGAATTTAATTACGAGAGAATTGCCTCCGGGCGTGTGTATGTAAAACCCAAGATATTTAATTTATTGTGCCATAAACATGTGAGTCAATTCTCTCGTAAAATTCCCATATTTTCCGAAACAGAATGAACGGTAGAAATAAAAATTGACATTTGTTTAAAATAATACAAAAGTGTAACTGACATATCGATTAAAGCTCTCAATATTTTCGGTCGAATTTCTCTAATGAAAAACTTTGAAAATTACTGAAAAATCAGAATTATTAGTCGTAACGAAAAAAAAATCTCAATACTAAAATACAAGAATTACGAGTATGATTTGTTAATGGGATTTCCCAATTTCAGTAATTGAAAACGGTCCGATTTGACAATATAAACTGCATTGCAAGCCATAAATAAAAGGAATGAGTACCAGGATACCGAAAGACTGGGCTAAAGGACATTGAAAATTTTTTTGAAGATTTGAATTTGAATATTTAAAGCGAACTTCCACCTCTCGATGAAAATCTTCACTGCAGGAGTTAATAAAAAATCCTGGAATGAATGAGAGTTCCCATTATAGTCATTAATTGTTAAGTGGAAAATGAGAATTTAAATATTCGAAGGGCATGAGGAAAGGCAGAGATAAATTAATCCATTGGAAATTTAATAAACATGGTTTCGAAAGGATTGAGAGGGGAAAAGGAGATCCTGGAGATCCTGGAATATCTGGAACTCCTGGAAGAGTGATTTAGAGCTTCAAGTGTATATTTTTCGAAAAGGCCCATCAATACGAATATCACACCCTTCAATTAATCCTAGGAACCACCAGGCGGACGACATGTTTTAATTAATTGAAACCCAACGATAAATAATGACAGATAAATAATGGAGAGATCGGGTGTGAGGGATAAATGTCGAGTGCGATTGTTGAGTGTGTGAAAACGCTGCCGTAAATCGCTTACTAATTACCAGATAAATAAATAAATAAATGAAAGGCATAAAGATTTAATGAAGTAAATTGAACAAGATGGAGTACCCCAATTACAGTTGCGCAATCGTTAATTTTTATCGTCATCAGTAAAGTAAATATAAAAACAATATGTGGATGAAAATGTGAACTTTGTCGAGTTGATAATTTTTCAATTTACCCATGTCTGTAAATATTATGTTTTTATATATACACATAAACAAAAAAAAAGATGAAAACTACTACTCGATGATATATTTATTAAGTCAAGTAAAATTTTGGGTCATATTTTACTGTTAGCGTCTTGAAACAAATGTCATCAATAAAAACTTAATAACCCAAATTATCTGTGTTTTATTTTATTAATGATTATTTTATTAATGAGTCCTAAATTACGTAATTATAGGAGTTAGTCATTCATTCATTTTTTACTTGTGGATATTTTGTGTTCGCGAATCATTCAAAATTAATCCAAACATATTAATATGTTTAATTAATTAATATAAGATAAATACTTGGAGAAATTAATAATTGAGCATTGAATCAGTGTTACGTACATAAAATATGCAGTAATAAAATCACATCGATACCGATAAATAATTTCTGCACGTACCATTGGTAGCGGTTCCTGAAAAAAAAATATCCTGCTGGCACTCGAAATTCCTCTCGACAATTTCTTCTCTATGATGGATCCCCCAATTTTCTCCGCAAAATCCGTCGACAAAAAATAAATTTTGGTATGAAATATTTATTTTTTGATTACAAGTAATTATTGTAATTATTCTGTAATTGAGAATTCAACGTGGAATTTTCAGGATTTCTGCAATAATTCCCACATATTTTAAACTATTTATAACTTATAAAAAGATCATTTATTTAATTATCTCTGTATAATAATTATCGATAAATAAATAATAGTGTTAAATACTGATGTACAATTGTGGGATGAACTGGGTTCTGGAGCAATTAAACTATTTTTTTTATTATTCATCGTAATATGGCAGTGATAAAAGTGTAAAAACATCTTATATTAATTTTCTGGAGTCTGGAGAATGCACGAGGCCCTTATCCCTGTCCTCAATTGTACATTGCTCTCATTCATCAGTTCAATTCGTTAATTACATGATTTACATTGATTTGTTAGGGTTTAGCTTCTTTTGGCTTCGATCAAGTCTTAACGTGCGTTTAATTCCCTTTACTTGTCGTTAATAATCGGTTTATTGAACTGGACAGGAGCTCAAGTGGATGTTGTGTAATTCCGCCATGTCAGTCCAGTCCCGTCGTTCACCTCCGATCATTACGTTTCGTATGCACCCGTGGAAATGATCACGAGTGAGAAGAGTGCCTTTAGGTGCCGATGCTGTGAACAGAAAAATTTATTTATTAATTCAATCGAATCGCAGTCATTCATTACTATAACGAAAGGGATATCTTTGTTCAATTACAATTGAATTGTGAATTGAACAAGTTTTTATCGCCTTAGTATAAATAATAGAAATTTAAATACAAATTATAAAAATACCTGGTAGTCCTCCAATATACAGTGGAAAGCTGGCAGCCTCCGCGAGGAATCCCCCATCCCCACCGGCAGGCAGTCCAAATCTCTGATCTAGCTCATCGACCTTGAGTGTGAGCTCCTCCTCATTGTAAACCGCTTGAATTTTGTGCCACCGATTATCACAAATGGTATAGGCACTGCCAAAGCTCTGCTCGACCAGCGTTGGATTTCGATCCCCAGGATCACCAGCCATCACGATCTTTCCAGCATTAATCTCCAACGACAGCGATGGGCTGCCTCCAGGTGCTGATATACTCAACAGAACCCCAGACAACTCAGAAGTTCTGAATTCCAGCTGGAGTTCCAGAACAGCTCCCAGCTCAAATTCCCTCTTGTAAACCGCGTACGCGTCATCCTGGAAGTACGCACCACTCTCAACACTTGGAAAACACTGGCCGACGTTGAAGGGCCTCGACGTCGAGCCCACCATGTCGTAGACATTTCCATTGACCTTCAGCCCCCTGATGCACCCCTTAAGGGTTTCCAGTTTAGCCACCACCTGATCAGGAAAACGTGTTCCACTCTCAGGCAATCCCCCAATGTACATCATAGACTCCAGTCCCATCTTCCTTGGAACCTTGATGACCTTGGGGCTCTGTGCATCAACAACAAGAGTGAGTTTCCTCTCCTCGTGACTAATGACAACCCGATGCCAATTGCCGTCATTAAAAGGTGTCCTGAAAACGATCTCCTTCTTCTGCTTGCTCTTGACAACGAGACTTAGCATTGAGTCCTTGACGACGACCATAAGGTACTGCCTCCTCTTGATCCCAGGTGTGATAAACAAAAGCCCATTGGGATAGTACGTCCTGAAATCAAACTCAATGACGTACTTCTTCTCCCAGAATTTTTTAAAATTCAGGTAGAGCTGGGTATGGCTGTGCTGTTTGTCCCCGAATTTTAATGCACCAGGTTCCAGTGAGTAGTAAGGAACTTTCTGACAACCCTCAGGCTCTGTGGACATACCCCTGGCCAACGATGCCGATGGCATGTAATTCGTCGTTTCCCTTCCCATGACAGGTCCAGATCTTCCAATAAACGCGTGCTCAAAGCTCACAGCCTCCTGAAAGCTCACCACCTCCTCATTAAAGATGGCCTCCTTGATGGCACCATAAAGAGGCACCACAGATCCAATCATTTTGGTATTATTGATGAGAGCTGGGAGTCCCCCGAAGAATAGCCCACCAAATTCAGGTGCCCTGACAGCAGCAGCCGATGCCAAAACACCAGCATCCTGATATGCATCGTCAACCCTCAACTCCACACTCTTTCTCCTCTTCATGATGGTGACAGTGTGATATTTTCCATCGTTGAAACTACTGTTGGACTGGAGCACCAGCTCGCCCAGTCCTGCATTCACCCTCGCCTGTACCCGTCCGTCCACCAGAGCAATTGAGTAATAATTATCCTTTTCTTCACCTCCAACAGTATTCACAGCGTCCTCCTGTCCCTCCTGTCCCTGGAAGGTCGATAAAATAATAGCAGCCTCCTGCTGCATCGTCCTGAAGGATACAGTAACATTTCCAGATTTTTTCTTCAGAGGAAATGATCTGTACTCCAGGTATCCATCCCCATAAAATCCAACGATCTTCATTGGTTTGTTGGAGCACGAGGGCTCGACCCCATAGAACACCTCAGCCATGGGATCATATCCCTCCTGCACATTTATATTACTCATGCACCCCAGGAATGACACCTGATGAGGCAAGAGAAGTCTCTCCCCCCTGAAACTGGGGGGCAATCCTCCGAAGTAATACTTGGCACCTGAAAAATCTGGTATATCCTCCTTCTTCGGTTGAGTGGCAGGTGCACCAATTTTTTTATCATGCTCTCCAACACTCAATGAGCATTTCTCAATGCTCTTTCTCAACTGATACTGCCTGAAAGCGTCGATCTTCGTCCAATTGCCATTATTGTATTTAAACGTCGATGACATCTCCAGGGAGATATTTCCACCGTAATCAATCTGAAGAACAACTCGTCCCTCTTTGAGATAAATCATAACGTGTTGATTGGTTTCTTCGTTAATCGCGAGAAAGAGTAGAGCGGACTCGTCGAAGCTCCTGAAGGTGAGGGAAACACCAAACGTGTACTTATTGTAGGGCCCCGAGGGCACTCTGCTCCTGACAGAATATCCCTCACCATTGAAACTGTAAGACAACTCGTTTCTCGTCTCCTCGACTCCCTCTACACATGCCTTGCAGGCTTTATCGGGTGCCGATGTGATGAAATTCCACAGTCCAATCTGTTTGTTATCGAGAAGCACCTGGTGAACGCAACCTGGTAGTCCGTTGGCTGCCAGTAGCTCAGAGGGACGACGTTGTGAGGCTGGTGAGCCACCCAGCCAAATTCTGTCTGTCGTGGCAACATCGAACATCGAGAATTGTGGATTTGTTGTATTAGAAACAATTATTCCACCGGGTGACACCTGTTTTCTCACTGTTAATTTTCCCACGTTTCTCACACGCTCAGCCTCAATTCTGTACCATGACTCGTCATTCTGGGGATCTCCATACGTCAACTCCTCGGGGTGGACGATCACACCAGTGCCTCCTCCAACGTTCCACAAAAATCTCACTTTAGAATCGAAGAGCTCGATCGCGAGGAAATCGTCATTAATACTGCTGGGGAGATAAAATAGGGCCCCCTCTGTTTTGCGATGTGTGAGGGCCAGGGTAATGATGATATTATTAGTGCTGGACGGCTGGATAGTTGACGATCTGAACGATCTTATGCATTTTTTATTCTCCGCAGACTTAAGTGATACTCGAATTCCCTCAGCTGTATTTCTAGCCTCGGCTATTTTATCCTTCAGTGTCTTGAGCTTCTCCGAGAGGGTTTTATTCCACTTGGAGAATTCCAGCTGCCCCCTCTGGGAGGCGTGAGCCAGGGAGATGAGTTTGGCGTCAGCTTTTTTGACATTTGACAGTGCCTCTGTGATTTGCTCACTGGCAAGAGATATTTTTGAATCCCCCTCCTGCTTCAACGAGGACAACTGGGGCAGTAAATTCTCCTGAATCCCCACATTGTAATCCTCGATGAGAGTCTCTGACTGTTGAATGGAGTCCAGGAGGCCCTGATGTGTGGACGTGATATCATGGATGGTTTCCTCCAGCTGTGTTGCAGACGATTGCAGTTCTCTCAATTTAATATTGATCTGATTGTCCCTGATACCAGTGGAGTTCAGAGAGGACTTGAGATCCTGGACAGAGTGCTGATGAGTATGGAGGGTCGACTGGGTAGTGGCCAGAGGGTCCTTCAGGCCCAGAGCGATGTCCAGTTGAGTTGCAGAGAACTCTGACATTTCGGCTGCTGCATCCAGTAAAGATTTATCTTTTGGACCATTTGGATAGACCTTGTAGTACGCCTCGTATGCAGTTTCTTTGGCAGCAGTTGCTGCCACTCTCGCTCCCTGGAGATTCTCCACGATATTCTTGTAAGCCTCGACTGCCTTCAGGGGGTTTGCTGCTTGCGTTCGAGTCCTGTCGAACAGGGCCACATAACGATCCACATAATCCGATAAATTCTGGGAGTGCTCTACGGCTTTAGTCACGTATTTGTCCTGATACTCGTAGTTCAGACGATAGAGGATGCCCTCTTTGATGGTGAGCTTCTCCGTGGAGTTGTCGAGGCTCTCCTTGAGCCCAGGGATTGCCTGAAAGTTGTTATGACTGTCCAGGATGAATCCTTTCACCTCCTCGTTCATCGTAATCCCTTCCTCGATTGTTCCCGCAGTGTCAGCAGTGAGAATTCGGATATTATCGTTCAAAATTTTCACTCCTGCGTAACTTCCATTGATTTGATTGAATAATGAGTCGTATTGGAAGAGAGTCTCCATGTTGTTCTCGAGGAGGCGTCTGATGTCCTCAGCCTTCATCTGGATCCTCTGGGCCCTGCCCTTTGCCCTCGCCAGGGGCTCCACCAGGTCCAGCTGTCCATTTAACCAGTCGATGTAGTCCTCCGCCTCATCCACAAGTCTCTGGCACTCCATCGTCCTCTGGGTGAGATTGACACTCTTCAGGTAATTCAGAATCATTCTTGCCTCCTTCAGGGACTTCTTGATCCCTACCTTCTTCACGTCGTCTCCGTAATGCAGTAATTGAGTGGTTATTGCCTCCAGGAGGTCTCGCAGATTTCTCACTTCCACGTGAGAACTGAAGATATTGTTTTTAAAGTCCTCGGCTTTAGGTTTCAGCTCCCACGAAGCGCCACTCACCTCAGAGAATTTTTTGAGAAGATTCTCAGATTTTATCTTCAGGGTCTCGTAGTCGCTCCTGGGGATGACCTTCAGCTGAGATTTTAGGCGATCGATTCGCTCGATTTCCATGAATAATTCGGTTCCATTCGAGTTTATGTATGTCAGCTCCACCCAGGGGGGTGGGATGTATCCGTTGGCGATGTGGGTTGTCTCTGAGGTGAGGTTTGATAAGAGTTGGGAGAGATCGTCCAGGAGGAGACCTGTGCAATTATCGTTGCACGAGGTGCATATGCTGTTGATGAAGACGTGGCGTTCTGCTGTGCACTGAGAACAATCTCTTCCTGTGGAGCCTGGACGACAATTGCATTGTCCGGTTTCTTCGTCGCACTCGTCTGAGGCACTACCTGCTGGATTGCAATTGCAGGGGGTGCATGTGCCATTGGGGCGACCTGGGTAGCCGTAAAAACCGTAGGAGCAGCGCTCGCACCTGGAGCCAGTGTAACCTGGAAGTGCAGGTTTTTTTTTCGGGTTGCCTTTTGCTCGCGAATATCTCAGAAAGGACGGAATTCAGAGAAAAAAACTGGGTGGAACATTTTTTTGTGGGGAATTTTGTGAATTCCAAAAATGGTACGTTAGGTGATCGATCTGGTGAGTTAGGGTGGACCGAGATAGTACAGGAATGGTGATGTTGTAAAATTAAACTCGCGAAGATTATCACGCGTAGCGATTATAAAAACGATTATAAAAATTGTATATGGCGTTTTCCCGTGAAATTATTCGTTGATGAGATTAAATAGAATTTAAAAGAGGACTCACCAGGTTTGCAGTGACAGACAGCTTCACCACCTCTCAGGACACACCCCTTGGAGAATCTCTTGTCAGCATGAGGACAGGGACAGGGCTGACATCCCCCTTGATCCGGATCCCCATGAAAACTCTCAGCACACACGTGACAAAATTCTCCCGCTGTATCTTCTCGACAATTCTGCAATGATAAAAAATCGTCCGCTATTTTATCAGCAATTAACTTAATTCATAATTTAATTTCTCAATTTAATCAAGTTATAAATGTCAAGATTTTTTTTTCTTTCAATCCTGATATTATCCGAGAGCTACATAAATTATGTCGTCAATCAAGTTGTTAATGTAATTTAAAATGAAGAATTTTCTCGATGAAAGAAACACTTGCACTTGATAAAAAATAAATATTTTCCCCAGTGTAAAAGAGAAATGAAAATTGCTCATGTCTGAATGTGTTTTTGTCTCACCAGACAATAACCGGTTTCAATGTGACATATTTCCGATCTGCCATTACACTGGCATGGCCTCGCTTGGCCCACCAGATCGATTACAATCGTGGCTGTTGTTGTTTCGTTGTTGTACCACCGATAATAACCGATACTTGGATCCTGGCAGGACGTGTTGTTGTACTCAGTTGGACACTCGCAAATTTCAATTCCCGTTGCCAGTGGTGGTGTGTGGGTGGGAGTGAGTACAGCAGCATCCAATGAAGCCTCAAGCAGTCTGAAAGAAATTATCATTCATTACAACTCCTCTTTTACAACTTTTAAACTGGATTTTTTAATATATTTTCAAAAGGCTCACTGGGCTTCCTGGAATTCCGAGTGGTCAGAGGCCTTGAGGAATATGTGCTGGATGTCTTGGAGGGCCACCATCAGCACTTCCCGGGATACTTTGTAGTCCGGACGATTTTGAATTTGCCAGAGGGACTCGTGAAATCTTGAAAAAAATTCATTGAAAATTGAAAACCATCACTTTCACCTTGAATACCTTCAAATCAACTCGGTTTATCGAAAAAACTCATATCACATTTTTTGTAGACAATTTCATGGGCGACAAAAAAGCTTCATCGAGATTTTCAATAGCTCCGGTATTTCAGAAGATATGCACCAGCATAAACATGAAGTGCTCTCACCTGATCTTGAAATTGTTGTCGTTAACCGGTAAATGCTGGTAATATTCCAGTATGATTTTGTCATTCCCCTGAATTTGAACCAATGGATATTGAAGACTAGATCTAAGTGGGATTCCCCCCACTGCCGATGTTTTAAATCTCAAAAATCCACCGTACGATACGACCTGGAAGACAAATAAAAAACAACTCGAAAAGTGGAATTTTCTTGTTTGAATGAAAGGAGTCATTGAGTATTCAGCGTTCTGTTGATATTCGTGGAAAGATGGGGAATTTGATGTGAGATCCATTAAAAAGGCCTGGAGTGAATAGAAAAAATATTTACCTTGTCCCCGAGGAAAGACTCCGGTAATTGCCAGTACAACGGATAACTGTAATAGAGATTTGCCGGTAGAATGACGTCACCTCCGCTCCCAGGAATTATTGATAATCCATTGGTCACGTTTAAGCCGCCATTGAAGGCCGGGAGGGCGACAGAGTACCCATAATTCGAGATCTTTATCAACAAATAAAAAATTGACGAATTAATTATCACAGCCGTTTGTCAGTCTAACGATTCAAATTTTCACGACTAATTTTCACATTTTTCTGACGAATAATCCAATTTCATTCCACAATTTCATGAAATAAAAAACCATTTCAATAATTAATTGATCGAAATCTAATTAAATTCCATGAATTAAATGAATGATTTGAAGTGACTTAATCTAATTGAATCTTTACGGATGGTTGGAGAGTGTGCAGAAATTTCTGGTTTATTTATTTATTTATTAAAATTTTTTAAACTCACAATTACGTCATTGGCAGACTCGTTGATGCGAAGTAATCGAGACCTGGTGAGTCGTCTCTGGCCCCAGGTGAGACCAGCCTGATGGCAAAGGGTTGATCTCCCGAAGCAGAAGCACTCGGTGCAGCCCTTAGGGTTGTCCTCGGACAGGCCGAATGTTCCCTCCTTGCACTGATTGCACTGTCTCCCCAGGGCATACTCCTTGCAAGGACACTGTCCATTCTGATCACAATGACACAATCCATCACCGCACTTGATGGTACCCCCAGCATGACAGTTACAAGGCTTGCACTTGGGGTATCCATAATATCCAGTTGCACATCGATCACACCTGAGACCCTCGAAGCCAACTCTACATGGGCACTGACCACTGAAATCACATTGAGACCTAGTGGAGCCCAGGGTGCAGGAGCATGCCTTGCATCCGATTCCTGGTATCAGATCGTATGAGTCCGGTCTGCAACGATCGCAGTGCTCTCCAAATGTCAGACGTGGACAGACACATCTGCCAGTGTCTGGATCACACACGTGGCCGGGTTTTGTGCAGGGATCACACACTGCGAATTCACAAGAAAAATTAGTCCCCTTCATCTCTCCACTTCCGGGACAAATGAAAAAAAAATACCTTGACAGCCATTCTCTGAAAATCCGTAATAGCCCGATAAACAATTGTCACAGCGTGCACCACCCACACCAGGTCGACAATAACAATCCCCGGTGTCGTGGTGGCAGGAGACGTTGGTGGAGCCCATGGTGTCACAACCGCAGGGGACACATCCAGCTCCACTTGTCATGCCCCAGTGACCGACCTTCGATCAAATCATTTATTTTTTTTTCATTCACTCGACCATTTTTTGATAATTTTTCTTGAAATAATCCCGATTCCCATTCTCTCAAAACAAAAGTCCCAGAAAAATTCAAACCGCTTACAGAAAAAATTATTCTTCGATCTAATTGCCCTCAAAAATAATTACGTCGAATATGCAGTTGACTACCCGGGTAAAAAAAAAAATTTTAATCGGAATGTTTTTTTCAAATTTTCAAAAAATTTCTGGAAAACTTCAGAAAATTTTTATTTTAAAACATTTAAAAAATTGGGGAACAAAACAATTGTATTTTTGGAAAATGTTTTGAAAATTTTTCCAAAAATGTGTTTTGAAAAATTTTTCAAAAATTTACCCGAAATTTTTGGTAAATTCGGAAAAAATTATTCCAATTACATTTTTTTTATGCGGGTATTAAATCAGATTACATTTAAATAGAAATTAATTGACATACAGAATTTTCTTAATGGACTAAATTAACGGAATTTTCAAATATCTGTAATTCGAATAACTATTATTAATTATTATTAATTATCTTGATAATAAATTGATTACCCTACCTGACACTGATGACACTGTCTTCCAATGATATTAGGCTTGCAGAGACATTGTCCCGAGACAATATCACACGCCGAAGAAGTCGATCCAATCATATTACATCGACATCCTGCAAAAAAACATGTCACGATTGGCAAAAAAATCAAAAGACCCGACAGAAAACTGAAACGAATGCCCCATTGAAATTTCGGCGTTCGTCACGCCCTCGTTGCATTGTGCAATTAGTTATCCGGCATTGTATGTAAATTCGCTAGAGAGAGAGAGAGAGGAGGGGCAGAGATCAATCGATCATCTCACCAAACACTCAATTAAACTCTCAAATAAATCACGAATGATAATTCATCGATAATTCAATCGCGCACTCTCGTTGACTGATAAAAAATCCGGATATAGCAATCGACATTAAATTGAATAAAATAATTTCAGGTATTCGGGTGGTGAGGGATTTATGGTGGCTTTGTTTAAATAAAAATGATTAATTATCGGTGGAGCAGGTGTTCCCAGTGACATAAATCCATTTCAAAGGATCAAAGACTGTTTATCGTGGAGTCGACGAGCTCGAGATATAAATTATTTACCTCCCGGGCACTTGTTACGAGGGAGTACATAAACTCGGTGCAATGACTGTTGAATTTTTTTTTTTTTTTTCAACGGTCCTCTACTCGTGTGTGTTATGCAAGAAAAACAGGATTAACATGCTCCAGGAGACAGGGATAACAGCCTCATTCGGGGAAATTCTTTGAGGACTTTGACAGTTTCAATTAATTATCAATTTTATGGGAATTTGAGACGCTCATGCGCGGGAATTATCCATTTTTTTTAGATGGTTATTGCAGTGAATTTAAAAAAATTATTTCCAGGCATTTGATATTTAAAATTGTCGGATAGAAAATAACGCGAGATAATCGGTGGACATTGGAAAATAATTGCGAATAATGGAATTTTTCTATTTTTTAATTCGATTTAAACAATTGCCATTTTTGTATTCTGGGAAATTGTGGGATTACTCTAATTATCTCAATGACATTTCAGCACGCAATGACGTTTAATTGTTGTTTTCTCGTGGAGTCGAGGGCGAATGAGAATTTTACGGAGAATTTTACTCGTTAATTTTTCAATGCTCCAGGTTTAATCGTCAATAATATGTTCATTTTGGAGAGGAGAATAATTCCTGTTAATTAGGTGTACAATATTTTATTCATAGCGATTTTAGGGTTGGGGACTTTAACGTGCGGAGAAAGGAGTTGAATAGGAATAATGACTCAAAGATTATTAATTTATTCAAAGTACCTCGTGACAGGGGAATAATCTCAGTTGTATCAGAGGTGTCAGAACTATTGTCCAGGAAATCAGAGTCATTTGTCAGAGAGTTACTTGCACTGTGAGTCTGTGACTCATCGTAATGCAAGAGAAAAAAAAAACGAGTCATGAAAGTCGATGCATGCACATGCACTCACACATTCCAATATTCAACCCATAATCCCCCGAATATCTCGAAAACCGCTGATTTCACCCAAAAAAGTCATTAACATTTTCTCCAGAAAAATCAATTTCCCACAAAAAATGTCGAATGAACTTTTCTCTGGAGTCACTAATTTCGGAGATATTCAATTTAGAATGTCCCAAAAAAAATCTATTTGAAAATTAAATTCAATTTTTTACGATAAAATTGCTATTTTCTCGGACTTTTCAGGAGAAAAACCGGGGGTACGTGATGAGCAAGATATAAAGTCCTGGTCCAACCTGGATATATCCCTGTGGCACGTAATAGCCCGCAATTTATCGTTCAATAAATCGAAAAGCGGTCAGGTATCACTTACTGCGTAATGCTACCTTCAAAACGTTTAATCGACCCATGCAAACGGGGTAGCCAACTGAAAGCATTATTTTTTTTATTTTTCCTTAAACGAAAATTATAGGGACCCCTTGATCGGGCGTTACTCATTATATCCCTGGATATAACCGGAGAGCATAAATAAAGGGAGAAAAATGAGGGACAATTAATTCTCGCGGATGATTTTCATATCCCCCCATACTCCCCTCTCCACCCCTTTGTATTCTTAACAATAAAAAAAATTACTATTGCATAATTAAAACTCCAACAACTCTAATTTAATAATTGAATAAATCAGAAAGAAATAATTGATGGAATTTCAATTTTAATTCAGGATTTTTTTACTCAGAATTCGAGTAAAAATGAAAATTATTCCCTTCATTTTTTGGGGAAGACTTCAATAAATAATTATTGAATTTTATTAAATATTTCTCTCTGTGTCAATTGAGGATTTCCTAAAAGTAACAATTGCCCGAGAGCTGAGGCTTCCGCGTTAATTTCCCGATGGGACAAACCGCAAAAAATAAAAGCCATAAATTACGAAAGAATAGAAAATGGTGAGGAAAAAGCGGTAATTTACATTGAAAAGATCGAATGTAACTGGGACTCCAGCACTCCCTGGAATACCGGTGTCGCCACTTAGCCGCAAAAAAAGATTACACAAGCAATTCTACATGTTTATCTTTAACGCTGAATATTCGCCGAGTAGTTTTCGACGCAGATGTTTATTTTTATTGAGAAGAAAAAATGATACGATGGACTATGCGTAAACGGGCACGCCTCAGGGGATGTAGGTGGACCAAGTGTGGATACTTGGAGATAAGAAAACGAGGAAGGCGCCTCTCACGTGTGTACTTAGCATTCAACAACTGTAACCGTACGATAAATGACATCAGCCCCCATAATTCTCAGTGTATTTGTGAATTATCCGATTTCAGAACTATTCACACATGTCCCCGGGCAAGATAAAGGAATTATTAATGGATTTTATCGGCTGGGGCATCTGATAGGGCCCAATCCATAAATTAGTCCATTAATAATCTCGAGAAATCGATGGATCCAACATTACCCACTTCATTCTCATTTTCTATCCTGATTACCGCGGTGATTACTGGAGATAGGGGGGAGAGTTATAAGACTTTTTTATGGAGAATTTTGTGAATTTTAAAAAAGAGTAATTACTTTTTTTTTGTACGAGTGATAGTTGTCGAGATATTTGGAAAAATAGTGAGAACGGTTTTCGCCGGTTGAACTCTGTCGAGTGTTTTGGTGGTTATATTTCAAGTTGATTATCTCGGTAATTATTAGGTTCAGGGGAAAAAATGACAAGATGATTTTTGCGGGGAATTTTGCAGGATATAAAAATGGTAGTTGACTTTTTTCTGTAAAATGGGTAATTATGCAGATATTGAGCAGAATTGAAGTGACATTGATAATGTCGAGAGATCACGAAGTCGACTATTCAGCTCGCTTTTCCATCATGATTACCATCGTAATTACGAAAGATAGAGGAAAAAGTGATTGAACGTTTTTTGTGGGTAATTCTACAGGCTACAAAAATCATTTATGATTTTTTTCTGTAAAGCGCATAATTATCGAGATATTGAAAAAAAAATGAGCGAGTAGTGGTGGTTGTCTTATGAGAAATGTAGATTAGAGAGAGTATAACCGTGAGTGGTTGATTTAAAGTGATGTTGCGAGTAACCGTGTCGGTTTAAAAGATCCACCAGCACGAGGAAGACGACGTCTCGTGTGAAAGACGCTTTAACGAGCCGATCTTCCCCGCTGGGAGTGAATTCCCGGTGATTTGCAATCGCGTGGGCGTACCGGAAGTCTTCCGCTCACTCTCCCTCGGAAAAAATTCAAGAAAAACCTCGAAAAATTATTAATAAATTGCCCAAAGCCACGCCCAACCTGCTCTTAAGTCTGAAAAACTCGGTAGAAATAAAAAAAACACGTCCTCCACGCATTCATTCAGAAAAAAAATCATCAGTAAACTCATTTTGTATTTTGAAAAGCCAATTTTCGAGGGAAAAAATTCCGGGGAATCCCGGGAGAACGTGGGAGTAATTGAGAATTTTCTTCAGGTCTAACATTGTAACCTGGAGATATCCAATAAAATTAAGAATTTCATGTGACAGTCGTGAAGACTCGGACCATAAAACAAAGACCAGCTCAGGTTTTATCATTTATACGTGGACGCACTTGAAGTAATGGAAGGCAAATGGAGGTGCTCTCAAATGAATATGTAATGTGAATATAAAAGTATGTAGCTTCTGGAGAAAAATCATTTAATACCCTACCGTCACTAGTCTTGGATAAATATCATCATTAGATTCTACTATCGCCTCATCCACCTCCAATTATTATTTAACGCGAGTATGAACGACTATTAATTTTATTCCTCGAGATAACAAGATGTTCAATGCTCTCATTGCTCGGAATTCGGGAAATAATGGAAATTAATGGAAATAAATGGCAATAAATGGAAATAAATGGAAATAAATGGAAATAAATTAAAATAAATGGAAATAAATGGAAATAAATGGAAATGAATGAAAAAATAATAGAAAATGTAATGAATGGATTAACGAATTGTTTAATCTAGGGAAATATTATTCCAGCTTTGAATCTAGGAAAAATAAATAGGCGAATAATGGCGGATCGCCATGAAAGACCCGTCTAGACTCATTAAAACAATCTTCAGATGTATTTTATAAACACGATTATCCGCGATTTCTTGGATGTCTGTTGGCCAAGTGGCCCCCGAGTAAATTCAACACAGTCCCTCTCTTATCGTAACTCTTTAATCCGCAATGTGAATTGCTACCGATCTCAAACCGACTCCTTCACCACAGGCATCCGGCCCTCTTTCGAATTAACCGGAGGAGCTCGTGGCTAAATAAATAAGTCGGTGAGTCAAAATAAAGAGGAGTTTGAATAATATTCCGGTAAAAAAAAAATATTCTCGAGGGGCAACGAAAAATTATAATAATACTCGTAAATCTGCCGGAGATTGAACGCCCACTGTCATTATTGTTTGTCATCTTTTAAATGAAAATTGAAGGTGGGGTGGGG